TATATATATATATATATATATATATAGGTGAGCGAGAGAGGAATAGGGAGAGAAAGAATTAAAGTACTTAAAACTGCAGTCTTTACAAAGAATGCTTAACATCACTGAACATTCAGTATTCTAGACAATATTAGCAGTGTATTTAGCAACAGATTCGTATTAATGCAAATGCTCCCTAACAGACAACATTTACTACAGAATGATTAGAAAAATTTTTTTTGCTGTTGCTAAGAAAAAACAGCTGCTTGCTTGTCATAAGATTTCCACTTAAAATATCTGTATGAATTGATAACAGCTTTTTTTTTTCTTTTTTGGAGACTAAACTTAGGAATAAAAGTGAAATGACGACGAAAAAAAAAGCAGAAAGAGAGGGAAAGAGAGGGGATGCGAAAAAAAAAAGAAACATAGAAAACTAGCACTTGTGCTGAGATGGTATCTTACCGTTACAGTTTCTGCAGATGTCTTTAGACAGCATTGGTCTAGAGAAGTGTTTTTGTCTTCTAATTTTTTCTCTTTATTGTTGTTTATAGCCTAAATTAAAAAATAACGATGAGGGAATAACTGTTTAAAAGCAGTGAATAAGACAGTTTTCTGTAGACTTCAACCGGAAGTGATAGATTATTACATTTAAACTTTATATGATTAATGGAAGGAAGAAGAAAAGGAACAGAAGAAAAGTAAGAAGAAAGTCTACTTTTTTCTATTTTGATTTAATTGAGCTTTAATGGTCTTTAGTTTGGATACATCTGATTGACATCTACGAGAAAGATTTTTTTGTAGTGTATTGATGACCGACACATTGATTCCAGTATAAGTTATTTGAGTTTAATGAAAACGGATATTTTAAAGTCCTGCTTGGTACCTAAGTATGGATAAATTTTAGGAAATTTTTGTAAATGCTTACGGCTCAACTGTTTACGTGATAGATTTAAGGGATTCGAAACCAAACCCGAACTGCATAATTCATCGTCAAATTCGGTGCAAACTCAGATGCATATGCGGGAAGCAAAGCCATACAAGTGTACTCATTGCATCAAGTCTTTTGCCAACAGTTCCTACTTGTCGCAGCATATGCGGATACACTTAGGAATAAAACCGTTTGGTCCTTGCCAGTACTGCGGCAAAAAGGTAACCGTTTTGGTCTGATGTATTTGTAGAATTTGATTCATTGTTTTACATCTCAAAATTTTTTTTAGTTTTACTTTTTCTTTAATTACTTTTTTGTACACATTTGTTGAGTATCTATTTGGTGTGGCGAAGCAGTTATTCTTCAGATTTCTTTGTGTGTAAGAAATTCTTTTTCTTTTTCATTCGCGAATGGTAGCTTTACCGTTATTTAAGCATTTAAAGTGTTAGTGCCTTCCCAATGGTGTATAGTTGAGATGATTTGAGGTACCAACATTTCTATTATCTTCGTCAGCAACGGTAACAACAGTCGTCTACAGTTATTTAAAAAGCAAAAGACAGAAAGAAAATAAAAGCCGAAGTTGAGAAACACGGAGGAAACCATCAATTAACGCAAAATATCCTTGTTTTCATTAATTTTGAAACAATCAGAATTTGGGCAATTAAATTTGTTTTTCTAGAAAATTACTTTCTGGTTGCTTAAATTAAATGCGAAAACAATGCCAGCATTTAATACCTCCTTAAGTTAATTTTAGTTGACCTTTCTCTTTAAATTTTTTGCTTTGCAATGTTAAAGAAAAATTGCGTAAGATTTGATACAGCGTTAAGCGGTTAGCTCCTTTTTTTTCAAAGAAATAAGGGTAGAGGGTAAGGATGGAGGGTAGGAGTAATGAGTACGACAGGAAACGGCAAAGTGTTTCATTATTAGAATAGAATAACTGGGAGCCAGTACGGGAGTAGGGGTCGGAAAGGGGACCGGAGCAAAAGAACCGATAGCGATGAACGTCGGTGACGGTAACAAAGTTTTGAAAGGTGGGAACAGGGGAACGGTGTGATGTGCAAATGGAGTTTTCAAACAAGAACAATGACCGTTGCTCTGATGCAAAACTAATTTTACTGTAAAAAAAACTAAACTTCTTCGTTAAAAACGAAATCAGATTCAAGAAATGTAGAAAAATGAAAAAGGATTGGAGAAGAAAATTTGTAATTTTTCGTAAATCTTATCGTTAATCATTTGTCAATCAAAAATTTTCATTTTATAGCGTCAGGTCTTTTGTTCTTTCTTTCTTCCTCTATTTTCTTCTTTTTCTTAGAAATGATTTAAATTTAAAGGATCAAAAAAGGAAGAATTAGAAAACAGCAACTTACATGTGCCTAGAAACTTGTTGCTGGGTATGAAGTGTTCAGCTAGACCGTTTTAATCTTTGAAGATAAATTTTTTGCCTGATTGAAGACGATACAAATTCAAATTTTGTTGGGGAAGGAAAAAAAACGTTACTGTTGGTTAAGAGTTTTACTGTAGGATGGTTAATGGTATCCATTTTTTTTTTTGTCCACTTTTTTATGGCTAAGAATATTATCATTTATAACAACAGTAATATTATTATTATATTACTATTATTACTAATGTCATTTCAATTATATTTTTAATTATAATACTTATTATTATCAATGCAGTTATTGTTATTACTTTTATTATTATATTTTTCCTAATATCATCAGTTTCAATTTTATTACGGCTATTGTTAAAAAAAATGCAAAATCTTCTTTGGCAGGAACTGTTTAGAGTTATTTTTGGCTGTACAGCGATAAAAGCTTTTCAGCTGGTACACACATATGCAAATAAGTAATGTTTGATCAGAAGCAAAAAAAAAAAAAGTCAAGTGATCTTAAGTGAAACGAAAGAAACTGCAAGAAAAAAAAAAGAAAAATAGAAAAAACAAAAACAACTCTGCTATTATCGACGGTTTTGGATGTCATTTAAACGGGCAGGAAAAATTCAACCTCGGAAATCTGGTTTTCCCTTCGTTTTTTCAAAGCTGTTCAGTTTGTTGTTGAGCAAATTCCAATTTGAGAAGTTCCGATGAATAATATTAGTGCGATTACTGTAAGACCCTAATTTGTATCTTCATACATTAGAAACCACTAATAACATTTGTCCAATCCTCGTGCTTTTTAACTTTTATTGTTTTTTTTTTTCGATGGGGTACGGGAGTGCGATGGGGAGGGAAGAAAAGAGGAAAAAGGGCTTAAATGGGCACTAAATAAGCACAAAAGAAATTTTTTTCAGTGGTTTTTATCAGCTGTTAATTGAGAGGTTACGATGGAGGGGCAGTAGAAGGGAGAATGGCTGTTTGAGGTGGCCGGTACTGTGGGTTGTTGTGCTGTCTAATGGATTTTTGGACAGGACTGATTTAAGGAGGCAGGAAGTGAACTACAAGTTGTCTTTAACATCAGTTTATTTTTGATCTGACGTTTCCTTCCAAAAAAATTAATTTTTTTAAAATTTTTGTTGAAAAAAATGAAAAATAAAAAAAGAAGACGAGGAGAAAAATAGGCGAAGAAAAATGACTGGGCAGAAAATCGATTTTAAAGGGAAATCGAAATGATAGAGTAATTTGGGAATGAAATATCTCTCAATAAATTCAAGAAAAAACAGTGAAGAAAAAACAAACTGTTTTCTTACTTAATTTTATTCATTCACTTAACTTTTTTTTTTTCATTTTCAGCAAAAAAATGTGTTTCAATAAAAAACGAAAAAAAAAAACAAAGACAAATTGGCAATCTTTTTTTATCCTGCAACAAATATGAAGTCTAAAAATTTTAATTGTATTACTTTAAATTATGCTTTTTTGTTAAAAGGTCAGTTGTTGTAGTTTTAACTTATAAAAATGAAGACAGTACTTTGTTTTCACTCTTATCACGGTATCTGTGATGGCTGGAAGTTTTCAAGAAACTGCTTTCAAAGTGGGTGGACGTAAAAAGGACGTGTTTTAAACGGTAGGAACTAAAAGAAGAGAAGAAAAGAATTGATGGCAACTTCGTTGAGCACAGTTGTTGAAAATTTAAAAAAAAAAGCAGACAGCAGGAATAAAGTATCATTTCTTCGATTACGACCTTTTCGTACTATTTGTTCATCATTTTTTTGTTTCTTTTCTTATTCTCATTTTTTAAAAAGGTGTTTAGGAAAAGGCTGAAGAAATTTGGCCCATTTTTTTTCGTTTTTTATTTTGCAGTGCTGTTTTGCTCAGTAAAAAAAAAAGTGACAGAAAACTACTGTCCTATCACCGTAGCATCCAACCAACCATTCATCAAAGGTGAATCAGCTTTGGGCCAGCTGAAAAATGAAACTATTCTTATTGAAAGGCAAAAAAATAAAAAAGAGTAACGCTGTGAATACAAAGAATCGCTCGTAACAGGCAGCTACATTTTGCTGAGGTGGGATTAGCGGAGATGTCGGAACAGTGCTCCTACAGATCCTTGACTTATGAAAAACTTCACTGTTTTGGCAGCAGTGCTACTGATGTTTTGTGTTTGTCTAATATAGCAAAAAGACTGTTAACATTTAATGTGAAATATGGCGTAAAATATTGTAATTGTAAAAGCAAAAAGAGCTGTTGTGTGCGTGTAGCAAAAGAAATAAGCATAGACAAGCAATATTTAGCTACAATTAATGGTGTAATTATGAAATGACTTTTAAAGACGATTATAAGAATTTTGTATTTTTTCTGTACCGTAATTTTTTTTTTGCTGCAACATTGAAGCCGGTTACGGAAAATATACTCGTGGCAGTAGATATATATCGCCTTGTAGAGATGAGAACATTTAGTTTTATATTGTTTAATTTTTTGTTTTTCAGAATTTTTTTCTTTTGCTTGCAGTTTACTCAGTTGTCGCACTTGCAACAGCACATACGTACACATACCGGTGAAAAGCCCTATAAGTGCAAATTTCAAGGATGCGAAAAAGCATTCAGTCAGTTATCTAATTTACAGTCTCATTCAAGGTGTCACCAAAGTGATAAGCCATTTAAATGTAACAGGTTAGTTTAACTGTTATTAGCATCTTAATACTGATTGTTTAATTCAAAAAATTTTTTAAGTTTGACCCGTCTTTTCCTTTTAGTTGTATCTTTCTCATTCCTCTTATCTGAAAAAGCGGGCTAAACTTCACTTTTTGCTTATTCATTTTTGCCGTCGACTTCACCTATTTATAATTTTGGAGAACGTTTAGACTGTTATTTTTTGCCACCGAATAGTTTTCCATTAACTTTCTCGATTGTGACAGTTGTGCAAATAAAAAGAAAAATTGGTTTTTTTACAGACTAGATAGAATGTTTGTTAAGGATTTTGTGTTATTTGCACCTAATATGAACAGTAAGTCAGTGTAGTTGTTGGCTTTTGGGAGTCATTAGCACTGAATTCATCTTGAGATAAGCTACTCCAAATTTTACTGGCTGTGAAGATAAAAAATTTTTTGATAAACTTTTTTTTAACGCTGTATGTGAAAATGCCAGTTCACGTTATTACCTTTGCGATAGTGGACTGTTCAAAGGAATGGTAGTTTGAGCGATGCAGTCTGATTCCGCTCACATTTCTGGGTCTCAATATCAGTCGTGAGCCATATGTTCCTAGCTTTTGCCAAATATAA